TGCATGGCGCCCCCGCACTGACCCCCACCACACCACAGGTCCCATCTCCCCCATCACTGCTTACACCCCCGCTCCTTCTGTGCCTCTTTGGCCACAGGAAATATTACCTTTCTCACCTTATCCATCCTCCATCAAGACAAGCCCAGCTCCTGGCACTGCCTGGATAGTAATCATTCAGGACAAGCCCCTCCCTTAAAGCATGCCCACTTTCAACTTGTGTCCAACTGTAAGCAATTAATCATATGCCCCTCCCACAAGACATGCCTTCCCCCTGCCTGATTGCTACGGTGTTTTTCAACACCAAGAACGCAAAGATCGTACTTGTGATCTTGCCAAAAGCATTCTTGCTAACTTGCCTCCCAACAACTAACTTGGGATGCAATGAATCATAAGATTGTTCTCGTTAACGAGGATGCAGACGATGCATTTTTGATACTGGGGACGGAACAAGAACAACATCCGAGGATTTTTACAGTCCTCCGTACTTCTGTTCTTTAGTTTTGGAAATGTACTTCAGCAATTGAAGATGACATCAAACAGGTACGCAACACAAAAGTGGTCAAGTATGCATATCGATGAACACCTCTAAGCAAATCAGGGAACACCCCTCCCACCTGCCTCTCAATTCTAGCCCCTCCCCGAAGACCTTCCCACACATAATACTCTGTTTACACACATAGTTCTGCATCACCACATGCTGCCTTTGCATTCCACCCACTACTCTCAGCTACCCACCCTCCAGTACCCCGTCCAGGGCTCCCCATGGTGTCTCCCAGTTCCCCACATACAGAGCTACCAGCTGTCTCCCACCAGCCCCACACTCCCGCCCCCTCCCGCCCACACAGTCGTTGCCACCTCTCCCTGCTTGCCTGCCTCTGTCACATTACCGGTGTCTTGTGAAGACACCTCCATATCACTGCCTGTTGCAGGAAGTTGGAATTCTGGTATCTGGACAGCAAAGGGATCTGTCTGTTGACCACAACCACTCCACCTTACCCAAATAACTTATCAGAAGCCAGAGATGGTCAGGTCACGTTTAGGCAGGAGGAGTGAAGGGGCCCGGTCCTCAATGGAAGATACTGATATACAATGAACAGCGTCTCAAGCGAGAAAATGCATCTGCAGCATGGGACACAGATGTACAAAGCTGAGAACAGCACCACTTCAGCTGAGAGTGTGCTGGTCAGGTACAGAGGGGCACCAATCGCACATCAAAGAACAAACAACTGTCTCACAGAGTGCTGTTTTCACAGGACCTGATCTGCTTTAATGCGAGCAGACATCCCAAGCTTGGTATCTGCTTGTCGGGATATGGTTCTACACTTATCCCTGGCTTACAAACACCAAATCCCTAACACATGTTCACTTTGTAAGCAGAGTCTGAAAACTATGGTGGTAACCAGACCTAACAGGTGGCCATCACGAATAGGCAGCCCTCACGGGGATTCCTGGACCTCAAACGAGACAGAGAGGTGGAAATGAGGGCAAACAGAAGCAGAAGTAAACAGAAAAAGGAATAGCAGGGTGAACCTCTCAAGATACAACAACATGTTTCACTGGGACGATGTCCTGGCCATCACAGCCTAGCTGTAGGGATTCTGAAACCTCTACATCCTCAGCTTTTAATCCACCCATGGTCTAGACCCCCGGCATGTCTGTAAACTGGAATAACTATCACGATAATCCCAGCTTCTAGTGACTTCCCTGGTACATATGCTATCCCCACCCATCATGGTGCATGGATGCCGAGTCATCAGTCCTCTGTCTGCCAGTCTGGCCTCAAGACAGCACCAGACGGTAATACAGGCCGGGCCGGACAGGGGCTCACAGTACCAGGGTGGGGGGAGCAGCCCAAAAACATGATGTCAGGATCACCCCCGCCTTCATGCATCCTTCACTGGTGCCAACGTGACTCTGCTATAAAGCGAAGCATATGAACTCTGATTACCCACCCGAGCCGTACTGCCAGTAACACTGTAAAATCAATAAGGAAAAAAATAGCCAGAAAGGCTTGTGTTAACCTCCTGAATGCAGCTGACCGAGGGGCTGCCCTGCACGTGCCGACAGCATACACCTGGCAGCACACGCCTGACTGGACCTGCATTAATCACTCCACTGCGGTCGCGTGTCTTACCGTGTGTATAGAGCACCCACTCTGCCAGAGGAGCTAATTAAGTGTAAGCAAGGTACAGGGAAGGCAGAGAAGGCGTGTTGTGGAGGCAGCTTTCAGGGCCTTCAGGAGTTCTGGCCCAAGAAATCCCTGGACAGGAATAGTAGCTGGACCTTTTAGTATGGTGGTTACTCCATCCATGCATCTTCCAACTACTTATCCAAAACGTTGCGGGAAGTACTTTTAAAACAACCTCTGCATTTATCCAGAGATAAATGTACAAGAACTATTTCTGAAAGAATAATTACCATTCACATCCTGTTATCAGGATGTGAATGGTATCTTTTGTGTTTTTTTTTTTTAATTACAATATGTATTTAATGTTCACGTGTGGCTGAACATTGTACACCAATATTAGGACCAGGCTGTGGCAGCAGGTGCTCATGAATATTCATTAACGGGTTTACGTTACAGTCTAATTCTAAACGCTATTGATAAGCATGATATTCGCAGCTTCCAAGAAGAGTTGCTGCATGTCTAAGCCCCGCCCACTCATACATATTCAAATACTCGGCAGGTTACGACCCCAAAACCATAACCATAAATTCACTTCATACACCGAGTTATCCAGAGCAATTGTTACAATGAAAGACATGAAAGTTTAAATAAAAATTTTACGCAGGCTAACATATCCCCAGTATTGCTAAACAAACTAAACCAGGCAGAAGCCTGCATACAGATAAATAGGAAATCCTTTAATTACGCTCTTCGTTACTCGGCTTTACCGTATTTCCAATTCTTTTAATCCTTTCCCCATGGCAGTGGTACCGGCGTCGGCTGAACTGTGCTGATTGTGTGGTAAACAGCTGCACCGAGGTCCTTTTTTTACGACATAGCCTACTGTAGCGTTTCGCCACTAAAATAAGTCAGACCATTTTCTTTACTTTAATGACACTTTAATACCGGTTGCTGACGGCCACAGCGACGCCGCAACCCCAACCAAACGGCAGCTCGAGACAGTGAAAAGCCCGCCAAATGGCCTATCAAATAGCGCCAACCGCCGGGTTCTGGGTCCTACAGTCCTACCATGCTGCCCCCTAGGGAGACCCCCCAAGAACAGCAACAACAACAGGGGACTACGTATTTACGTTAAAGACATACTCCTTCCTGATAGAGGCACTACAAAATTTAAGCGGGCCAAAACGATAGCCCATCTTCCTTGACGACCCGCGTGTCTGTGCGCTATGACACTTACATAACTGGTTTTGCTCCACCGCATTGCATTGCAGAAAATAAGTCATACTCCACACCAGCCCTCGGCAGGCAGAAAGAAGCCCCACTGAATAACGCACTTTAATGCGAAACGGCACACTATTGTAGCCTCTCACAATATCATCGTAAAATCAGGCCGCTGAAGCAAGTATATGATTTTTTAATAAAATTGCCTTGAACTTCAACGGATTACAAATTGACCTGGAATAATCTGTAAGCATAAGAGAATCCAGCACCTACCTGGGAGACACTTAAACTGCATCTTGTGCGGTTTGGCACCACTTCCAATATAATAACTGTTTCTCTTTGCACCTAAATCTTACTTTGAAGCAAACAGATTGTGTTTATTAACGTTATCCCTAGGGATTCCTATATTAACCATCTTAAAGGGAGACAGACAAGAAGCAAGTGCAAGTTAAATCAGCAGATTCACACTTAATAAACAAACACTTACTGTAACCTAAATGCCAACGTTAACTATAAGCACCTGTACGGACAGTCTATCATTATCAACAATAAAACGGCTTTTCGAATTCATTTCTGCTGAGTTATTATTACCAAGTGATGATTTTGTACAAAAAAAAGAGCAAGGGATTTACAACTCTAAAAGGTTTACTCTTTAGTTTCAGGGAAATGGGGATTGTAATTCATGGGTCAGAGGATCGGTCAATGCGTTATTAAAGATACTCAATGTCCATAATAAAAAAAAGCTATCAATTAGCATAATACTAAAACTAATGCGTCGGAATGAATGAACTTTCATAACGTCTAAGTGGGGCTGACAACGGATCAGAAATGGATGGTGTGACAACACCAAGGGGTTTAGTCATCACACCTTCAGATTAACTATTTCAACGCAATGGCTTAACCCTAGCTTGTGCCTAAAACAAGTGTCGCTCTTATAGCCGACGTCGTATCATATCCCCCCGTGGTTCTGCACAAATCTGTAGTCTGACTGAAAAGCGGATTTTAAAGAGGTTGTTGGCGTTTTACGGACAACACCGCCGCTAGAAAATATCACCGGCTCTGCGGCACAATACGCGTTATTTTTCTTCACGTAATATATGCTACATCTGACAGAAACTCAAATCAGAGTAGCTAGAAAAAAGATGAAGAAATTCAACAGCCTCTTGAACGTCTCCGCCAAATCGATCCCAGAGCAACACTTCAACTCAATCACTCCATTCCTCCACTATTAATCTCCACCAAGAACCCCCTGAAATGCCCTCAGACGTCTTCATTTATTTATCATTGCACTGATCACATATTCTCTCAGCAAGCAAGAACCCAATCCTAAGAACTAACGAAGAGAAACTGGCGAAGCAGAGAGGAGGAGATTTGCCATCCAACACCCATCCTAACTTTCTCAGGAACAATGCGGACGGGGAAGTGTGGCAGATTTAAAGCGTAGACGCGATTTAGGTCACACGCACATACAAGCCAGGATCTGGCCAGAAAATGAATTCAGCATAAATGCACTATATAAATCTAAAACGTGATATGGAAAGCATACTTAGCAATGGCAGCGCTGGTCGCCGAAACGCCGACAGAGCGGAAGGTGAGACGGTGCGCTCATTTTACGCAAACCAGCGAGCCGGCACACTTTGCAGACACCTACCTTCAAGGCTTCTATATCCAAAGACGCCGATGGGTCCATATACAAAGATGAAGTGTCGGCAAAAGTTGTAAAATCTAAACTTGCAGCCCGCCAGCGAAACTCAGCCCAGTCCTCTTTCCCCCGGCAGATTTCCTCATTCCCACCGATCACGATGCCACCGGCAGAAAGAGGACATTTGATAACAAATCGCTCGGCACTTCCCAGCAATCAGGTAGCAGGCTTTTCCCCTCAAGCAGGCGACCCGTGGGGCTAATCAGAAACAGCTCATCCTGTCAACGTCAAAACACGCCGGCTCCCGAAACGATCGAGGGACCGGAGAAATTGCTGCAACCCCAGAAACCCAGTTCCTTGGCCACCTTCATGCGGCAAACGCAAGGAATGTTTTCGGTCTGGAGGCGCCGGGGTTTAGATGACCAATCTTCCGTCTAATCCCAACAATTACTTCGCCTAGTAATTGCGTTTCTGGTATCTGACGCCCAAGAAGCGTGATTATGTATATATGGTATTTCTGGTAAACACAATCCCGGCTGGCTCTGGCCGCGATCGCATCTGAACGCTACAGTCAGTGAGGTCTGCGAGAAACACCCTCCGCCCGTCAAGGGGGGGGGGGGGGATTTAGAGAGTGGAAGAGGAGGGGAAGGAAGGTCGATGTCTGCTAGTGCATAGGGATTTCTCCTGATCTTGTTTTACAGGTTCGACGACACCAGGTGACTGCCTCCCCCCGGGTCCTCTTACTAATTAAGTATAATTTGTCTCTATCCACCCAAACGGCACTCTTTTCCTTGCCAGTTTTTCACCTTGGTCCTAGATGGTATCTTCAGTTAAAAAAAAAAAAAAGAGAAATCGGGAACCAGACAGCACACCATCTGGCGAACCGCAGTGCTGTTTAAGTTTTAACACGTGTGCGTGCTTTTAATTTTTTTTAATTTGACGTCTGTTAACAAGAATCATTAAAAGATATTAAATCTACTGAATACCATACGCGGCACACCATCACTATTGCATGCATTTTGGAAAATGTGGTTACATTAAAAATAACAGCTTGATTTTTCATTAAAACATAATCCTGACGCCTGATAATTTCTTCCTACAGAAGTCTCAGTTGACATTTATGAATCTACAACCCCGTAGCAGTCGCAAAGCAGCGTCACGGTTGATTTTTACTTCATGTCATAAACGCGTATGCTACAGCCTAATGGATGTATATCCTTGAAGCCGACCCCGAAAAGAATAGTCCGTGCCAGGCCCCGTGACGTCAACCACAGGTCGCTAGGAATTTGGACCGGTAAGGTCCCGGCTGCGTGGAGTGTGGGGTGTGGGGCGTGGGGTGGGCGGGTGGGGGCTGCACTCCATCCTGGCAGCATCCGGGGGTGCTGTGTCCCAGATGGCCGACGCACTTCATGCCTCACAAACTGTCGTTGCTATCAGATTCTTCTAGCACGATGCGTACATAAGTCGTGATGCCATGACTAAACAGCTAAACAGGACCTGCTCACTGTACTTGTATTGTTTCTGTGTGTAGCTTACCACTTTATTAGGACTTTTTGATGTTATATTTTATTTTGCTGATATAGTAAAGGCCCTTGCCTTATTTTTGATGGGGGGGGGGGGTGCCTGGCAGCTTTCTGGGGGACCTGACTGCCGCTTGTGATGCCTGCCTGCGGTCGCCTTCTCCAGGGCCAGGGGGATTGCATGGTGTGTGATTCATTTGGGGTCCCATTGAGGTGCCACAATGGATCTCCATTAGGGGTACAAGGCTGACAGGTGCAGACAGAGCACTGAGGCAAGGAGATCCTGAGAGCAGAGTCATTACGGTCCAGAGAGATAGGCAAGGGGTCTGCCAGAAGAAAGCTGGACATACTGCAGTGGGTATTTCGTAATACTAAACAAGGGTCCTATTTTGTCAGATATGACTATGTGCTCTGTGAGGACGTTGATTTAAGTATTATTAACATAACAGCTTTGCTGGGGTGTAATGTCCTTTAATGCACTATGTGGACTAAGGCTATAATTAAGTGCTATTTGTCCTTCTGCTTCTTGCGGGTGTGTTTATTACTGCTATTTTTTTATTCAAATGTTTGCATGCTGTTAACCTCTGCTGCTTTAGAACAAAAAGCTGTCAAATCCGTAAATGAGAAGGAAAATGGATACTATAATTATATGAAAATTAATATAAATGTTAATATCCTGCCTAGATTGCGTGCAGTAATAACGCAGCTTTCGCCATAAACATGCGGGGTTTAGGCTACATGACCCTTCGTGACAGCTTGTCTGAGCATTTGAGGTGCCGCTCCGAGCGCCGTCTCTCTCACATCCCCGAAGCCTTCACTGCCATACCGCCAGACACTGTGGGCTTTTCCCTTCGAGGTTTATTATTGACAAATACTTTTTGAGATTCCTGTCCCTCAAACCCAGTTCATCGTTTCATTATCCATAATTGCCTTTGCTTTAATTATCAGACCTGACTTTCTGAATATTAAGTAGACGACATTTACAAATGATTACGGTTTGTACTTTTTTTTTCTATAACTGAAATACGTAACACGTCGCATAGGTATACATTTATTTAAAGCATTCATAGTAATAACTATGAAAGATATTTCTGATAGGCCTATTGGAGGGAAAACACAAATATGAACAGATCATAAATGTATTTAATAGGCAACGTATTTTATTAAAAAAAAAATCCATAAAATTTCAGGCCGTTTTAATGTGATTTATGAGTGCCGTTTTCAGAAAAGGGCAAATGGATTCTCCGTACGAATCGTCTGTTTCATGCCGCCTTTTATGATGCCCCCTGGACGGGGACCAGGATCCAGCTCCGAGGCTCCGCGATGCTCCCGGCGCTGAATGCGACAGGAGACGGCGGCCTCCTGCCGGCGGGGGGCGGAGCTGCGCCGGACGGATATATAAAATCCAAATCAAGACAGTGTTTAATAAAGCAACACATCTATTCTTTTTTGCAATTAATATTATTCAAATGTGACCTGTTATTTCATTTGTAGATTTTTGAGTGTGTAGACTATATAAGACGTATATTCTTTGCGATTTTGAATAACATTATATAGCCTACAGGCCTGCACAAGATCGACTTACAAAACTATCTCGACTTTAAGCATTTCAATCATTCTGTAAATGTAACCACATATCAGACAGGTCATCCTGAATGTTCGGTCAAGTTTACAAGCAGTTCAAGCATTTATTTATAAAATGTGTATACGTCGGAGATCTATAACAAGCTGATACTGATATATAATGTAATCTGTATAAAATAAAACCTAATGGCAGGTAATTTCGCACCAAATACATACTATGCATATATGATTTCCCCGAAAACTTTACCTTCTGCCCCCGCCATGTCCTCTGTAACTACATCTCCCACTAGTCCCCTTCCTCCCGTATGTCCCCATTGGCGCAGCTGTGAGCTCCGGAGCTGTCGCTCTTAGCTGAGCATCCTCCAACATGGCGTCCAGGACATCGGCTTTTCCCTGCCGCCTTCCACCTGCCTGCTTCTTGCTGGTGCTGCTGCTGCTGTGCGTGCAGCCAGGGGGGAGTCAAAAGAAGAAAGAGGTATGGATGCTCGTATCTGTCCGGGGACGATGGCGGTGGTGCTGAAACCGCGCGCGGCGACGCAGCCCCCCTCTTCCCCCCCGACCTTGCGCGTTTCCTCCGCATTTCCTTCCTGCTTCCTGCCCGTCTCGTGTTTTCCTCCATTTTCCATGTTTTCTCCTCATTTTAAGGTTTTTTAAACGAATACATTAAGGCCGATTTCCTAAAAGCCGAAGGACGGGGGCCGCTGCTATGCATGGCAGGTGTAGCTTGTCGCGCGTCTTGCACCCCCGCCCCCCCGTCTACTGATTTCGGCACGGCGGCTGTGTGGCTGGAGCTGTCCTCATTACAGGTTCAGTGTTAATCACCGCTGTACCATGTTTATGCAGTACTATAATATGTAACTCTAAATATGAAAGACTGCGGTTAATTCGTGGATGAAAGCTCACGTTACGCCCCACGACGCCGTCATCTGGGGAGGAGACGCGGAAATCCGAGACAGGCGACGACGTTTCTAATAAGGTCGGGGGACGGTATTTGATTATAAGGAGCAAATCGCCGCAGCTTTAGACCAAACATCCTTACAGGTTGTTGAAATTTAAGAAAGCAACTTGTTTAGAATGTTTACTGAACTCTGCGGGATTTACGGCAGCTATTCACATTGACTTGTTAGCATTTCATCCTAAAGAAAGACACATTTCATATGAGAAATTGTTGATTAAAAACACTCTGAATGAACAGTGGACTGACGGGCATTTGCCGGCCGGTCTGGCCTGCCTGTGCTGCCTGGGTGTTGGATATTCACTGGGTTTGGCTGAAAGTGCCACAAACGCAGTTTAATTCCTGCTTCCGCTTTAATTTGCTGCAAGGGTCTGCAAGCGGCACAGATAACAAAGAGGACTTTTGGCAGGGCTGATGGACGCGCTCAACATGACGGGTGAGGCTTCATTTGGGCACCCTATGATAAGAACACATTTCACATTTTGCTAGAGCCCAGCCTTCGACAGCGCAAAAGAGGATTGCTTCCAGTGCTTAGTTCAGATTGATATGACCGGATTTAATCAGGAGGCCACGTGGGCCTGTAATTGCGAATCATTTTATGTAGCATAATAGCACGTGGTTCTTGATAGGAATAAAGAATGGTTTGTAAAACAAATATCTTGCAGTGCATTTGAGGACTGGTGATTAGAGGTTACAGTGTAGGTCCTTTTCCTTAAACAGACGGACCAGCGCTGCTCCAAGGGGAACCTAAACCTGTGAAGGTTTAGGTCCCGAGTAGATTAAGTAGCTGAGCCGTTGAAGGAGCCTTTCAGCTAGGTGAATGTGTGACTGTCCTTGCGGGTGCTGCTCATGCCTGTGGCATACTTAGAAGCTCTCAGATGCAGTCTGGTGCTCATGAAGATGTGAGACCTGGGTCAACTGTCCAAAGCTCCAAAACTGTTGTTTCTGAAGCCGACAGAGATCTGTTCACAAGCTGGGAGGTCCGGAAGGATCCTATGCTGAGTTTCTTGGGGGAAGGAAAAAAAAAAAAAATATATATATATATATATATATATATATATATATATATATATATATATATATATATATATATATTT